TTTCTGGGAAGTGGGAGAGGGTGGGGGAGGTGTGCGCAGTGCATTGTGGAGGGAGGAATTCATCTGCTGGCCGGTGTGAGCTCATTTCCTCTCACTGCCTCCCGCAGGGTCTGAGGGCATCAGACTCTGGAAAAAGTGAGCCAGGGGCACCCCAGTGGTCACCTCCCTCCTCTCCTCCCCTCCCCCACAGCCTCAGTTCAGCCTGGATCCCTGAGGCTACTGCTTCCCCCTCACACAGACAGCCCATTTGTTCTGAGAGAAAAGGACCCCGAGCCAGGGTGGCAGCAAGCCTTGAACCACAGGAACCACGGGACAGAAAGAGGTAGAAACGGGAACGTTGTTGAAAACGAAGCAAGAGAATACAGGCAGCATGACGGATTACAGTTAGATAGCAGGAAGCACTTCTCAGAAGTGGGGGATAATTCCAGCTGCATGTGACCTTGATGGAGAGAGGAGGACAGGAAGAGGGGTCATTAAGTGCCCTTCCGTCATCGTAAAAGCATCCCTCTGCATGGACTTCCAGGGGATGTAAAAGAAATGAAATAAAACATCAGATTTAAAAACAAGTCAGCGTCTCCTTCCTCAGACTCACAGGAGCTGGGATGGCCCAGTTAGTGGCTGAGCCCCTCAACCCCCTCCAGGACCTGAGTCCCTGATCTTGCGGGGACTTGGGGTTGGTGATGGTGGTGAAGCAAGCAGGTTTCTGGTGGTCTCCTTGCCCCAGAGGGGTTGGGTGATTCCAGTAGGTAGAGTCAGTCTTCCACTTTCGTTGCCTGTCTTGTCCAAATCAAATTCCTATCTGCCTGTGGCCTCTGCTTTCTTTCCTTCATAATCTGGGAGAAGGAATACAGGAGCCCTTGAAAACTGCAAGAAGGCATGGGAAAGAGGTAAGCATGGGCTGTCGGAAATAGGAAGTAAGAAGGACGTCAGTTAGATAGCAGAAAGAACTTTCCAGCAGAAATGAAGGACTGAAGGACTATCTCTTCCTGGCTCATCAGGAGATGGCCTGATGAGGGGTCCTGCTTGGGGGCAAGGAAATGAACTGGCTCAAGACCCCAGTGGCTCTTTGGGCCCATCTTGGAATGAAGCCCCAAAGGGAGGCTGTGGAGAGCGTGTAACTGGGAGGCCTGGGGGTATCTGGGCTCTCACTGTTGTCTACTGCAGAGCAGATCTATGGGCTGGTCCAGAGGCCTGAGCCCCAGGCTGGCTGGCTGGGGGTCTGAAGGGTTGGGGCACCTGCCCACCTTTTTCTTCCAGCCTCCATTCCTCTGTCTCCCTGGGGTCCTGGGCCGAGACTCTCCCTGGGACAGGGGCCCTAGATAGAGGGGCCCTATCTAGCCCCTTCCGCCCCCACCCCCATGGGCATCACCATTTCTGCCCTGTCTCCATGAGGATGGAAAAGCTCTGTAAGCCTTCTTCCGTCTTTCCGTCTCTTCAACCCGCGTTTCTCTTCATCTTTGTCTCTTTCTCTGCCGCTCTCTACTCTGTCTCTATCTTGTCTCTGCCTCTTTCATGCTTTCTGTGTCTCTCAGTCTTTGTTTCTGAGCACCTCTGTCTGCTTGTGTTTCTCTCTGCTTCTCTCTGCCTTCCTTCCTTCTTGCCTCCCTCTCCCTGTGCTAGTTCTGGGTTCGGTGCCCTTGGCCTCTTTCCTGGGCTGGCCAGGATCACCATCTATCTGGGCCGGTTCCCGGGAGGCTAGTCCAAATTGTCTCCCTGAGACCACCTCCCTTCTCCGGGCTATACTGCCCTCTAGCTCCGCTGCCGGCGCAACCCCCTGCGTGAGCCCCCTTTACCAGTCAGCTGCCCTGGGGAGAGGCAGCGGGTGAGCCCCGTCGAGCGCAGGGGGCGGAGCGAAGGGGCTGGCCCCCGGGGGTGGGGGCGCTCCGCGCTCGGCCCCGCCCCCTCCGGCCCCGCCCCTCCCGGGTCCCTGCCCGCGCCCCCGGCAGTGCCCTGGCCGCAGAGCCGCCGCTGCCGCCCGATGAATGGAGTCGCCTTCTGCCTGGTCGGGATCCCGCCCCGCCCGGAGCCCCGGCCCCCTCAGGTGAGGGCGCTGGGCCAGGGGAGGGGGCGGATCCAGGCGCTGCGGGGGAGCTGGCCGCGGGGGGTCGGGGTCGCGGCGCCCCCGCTCGGCGGGCACAGCCGGGGGCTCACGGTGCGGCCACCGCGGGCACGGCTGCTGGGAACTTCGGCTGGTGCTGGGCCGGGGAGGGAGCCGGAGCGAGAGCTGCCCTGGGCAAGGGGCGGGAAGGAGGAAGGCAGGCCGGGGGCCGGGACGCGCACGGGGCTGCCAGGGCAGAGGGCACCGACCTGGGCAGCCGTGCCAGGCCCCCAGCGGCCGGGCAGCGGGGGCGGGAGGCCCGCGCCTTTTGTCCGGGTTTTTCAGGCGGGGCGCCTGCCGCTGTTTCCTCTGCCCGAGTTTTCGTTTTCCGTTGGCGAGGCCCCGGCACAGCTGGAGCGAGAGGGAGTGGGGGAGGGGGTTCCCGGAGCGGGATGTCCTTGGCCACTGGGGCCGGACACCCCCCTCCCCGCGCCACACTCGCCCCCTACCGGGCCGGGCCGCACGACGAGCTTCGGGGGAGCTGGGTCTGCCGCCCCACTGGCTCCTGGGACCGGGATCCCGGGCCCCGAGGGCTCCGCTGCCCTCCCCTCTGCCCCCTCGGGCTGGCTGTGGGTGGGTCTGGGCGCGGGGTGCCAGGGGCATTACTCAGCGCTGGGCTGCTTTGCTTGGATTCTTTCATCTGCCAGCTGCTGAAGCTGGGGATGGGCCAGCAAGGGCCTCTGGGCCCCTTTGGAGCCAGCCCCCTACCTCCGAGCCTGGCTGCCCTGGGGCTACTGGAGTACCCCAACACACACCACCCTCCTTCCCAAGTTGAAGGGCTGGGCACTGTCAGGCCAGCTCTTTCCCAGTTTGGAAGAGTTTCCTAGGGGTCCAGGTTGTGGTCAAGGTCTGGGCTGAGGCCTCTTCCTCTTCTGACAAGGCTTACTGATGGATGTTCTTCCCTAGCTGCCTCCCCTTCCCACCATCCCACGTTGGAGCTGGGGTCTGGTGCTTTGCAAACTCTTTCCGAGACTGGTGTGTTTCTCAGGAACTGGATGTATGCTCAGTTCTCCCTCAATCTGCATCTCTCTTCCTGGACTCTCCCTGCGCCTTTCAGCCAAAGTGTTTCCTAATTACAAACTTGAATTTCAGGATGGACAGGGGGTGGGGGTGGAGGTCATTAAGCCTGAGTCCCTTGGAGTCTCCCCCTCACCAACACATACTTCATCTCCACCCCCCCTACCATGTCCACCCCCACTCCCCACCCCTACCCCAGGCCCAGCTGGGGGTGGATGGAGTTTGATTCCCTGTGGTTCTCCCCCTCTGCCAGGGCAACAGCCTTATTCCCCAAAGTGGCTGCTCTCCCTGAGATGTGCTCATTGGCATGCGATTTGAATCTCCATTACATAACCAGTCATTTCGCCTCCAAACACAACCCAAAGGTCCCCCAGTCCCAGCCTCTTCCACTTGCTCACAAGGTGATTGGGTCTACCCCTAGGTGCCTGGAAACTCCAGTTCCGCCATCTGAGGCCTTGCCCTCCCCTTGGGAATGATGAGAGCAGTAAATCCCTTACCTCCAATGCTGGTTTCCAGGACCTCCAGAAGCCCCGGGAGCGGGCAGGGTGGGTATCAGGGTCTGAGACTACACAGCGATCGTGCCCGGGCTAGAACCTGGGTACCCTGATGAGAATCCTGGCATTAGGTAAAGCTTTGGAGAGGGGAGTGCTGTTAGGAAGGTGGCTTTAGGACACCGTGGGGAATGGGGCAGGCTTTCAAGGATCACAGCCCGAGCAGAGAGGGACTGAACCCAGTCGCTCTTGCATAGGCCTTGTGCTAGGCTGCCTGGATGGGGACTTCTCTGCCCCCTCATCAGGTTGCTCCTGAGCCCCTGCGGAAGGGGAGTTAGCTATCCAGGGGAACTTGTAGGGAGAGGCTTGTGAGCCAGTCTGGCTTGGATGTCACTCTAGGAAGTTTCCTCCGGTATAGTGGGTTACATAGTGGGTTACGTAGCTTCCTGCGATGTTGGCTTCCAGTGCAGGATTCTGGAGAGATTCATAGGGGATGCAAATATATTCAAATGAGTATATGTTCTTTGCGGGGGGGGGGGGGGG